CCCTCAAATCTATTTTTGAGTTCACTGACTATGTACCTCCATTTTGAAGAAGGATCCAAAGTATGGCTTCTACCTCCTTACATAAACCAGCATATATTGTCTCCATGTAGAACTGCTGATTGAAGAGGGTAGTCCCCGGTGTAAAAAAAATTACATGAGCAGCCAGCAGAGGGCAAACTTCCAGAGCTGGCTGGAGCAGATCTCAGGCCCTGGGCAGGAGCCTATACAAGTCCTCAACTATGCAGTAAGAATTTTTAGAATACATCCCAGGCATCCATCTTTGAAACAAGAACTTCAGGAGAGTTGACAACAGGTGACTCACAGTCTATACCTAGAGAATTTGGGCTCCCCTGCCTCTGCCTCCCCTTCTTCATATCCCACCCCATAATACACACACACACACACACACACACACACACACACACACACACACACACACACACTCACAGTATCTGTTTATCTCTTCCACTTCTGCCAGTTAGCAGCAGCATTTGGGCAGGTATAATTAAATTAATCAACTGCACATAGACTCAGTGGGATTTCTGGAGGTTGGTTTGGGGACTTCCTATTTTCTTGTTTCTTTGGTTGCTGTGGTTAATATTACATTTTAGAGATGGAGTCTGCCTTGATAGACAGCCCAGGTTAACTCTAAAGAGGTAATCCTCCAGCTTCAGGCTCCTGGGTGACTTATGAACTTCAGATCTATGAATGACACCTTTGGAGGCAAACCATCCACACCCTCTTTCCCTACTTGTCCGCCGAGGGGTGGCTGCAAGTAGAAGAGAAGCCCTGCTGCAAGACTAACAGTCACACCTCATTCCACATAGCTAATCCCCACCCTCCATTCTTCTCTCGCCTCCAGGAAGCTGGGTCATTTGACTTGCATGGGTGGCTCCTGGCGTGCATACACTTTCATATTTCAGCAAATTTGGAGCCAGGCTCTGAGCTTTCTTATTGGTTATTTGGTCACGTTTGGAAAGTTGTGTAAACTATGCAACCTTTCTCTAGTTTCCTTATCTGCTGTTAGTAAATGAATAGATAATAATGCTAAGAAAAGGACCTACCTTATAGGCTCTCTCAGATGATTAATGAGGCAGTGTCCGTACCAAAGGATTAGGTACAACTGACTGATGCTTCAAAGCAAAATTAAGGAAACATTTAATCTGGATTAGAAGGCAAAACCTAAACGGATATATATGCATACATATTTACAGGTATCCCAACAAACTTGAGCATTATGTTATCATTTCTTTTTTATCTTTTCCCATACGTGTTAATGTATCGTTGCATTCTATCTAATTTGTCGTGACTTATAAACATTTCAGATGTTTTATAAATAATTTACAAATCAAAAGCTGTTCAGCCACATACCTTGATTTTCTGTTTGAAAAATTAGGCTGCCAAAAGCATGTGTTTCCTTTGAGCGGATGATCTCTGTAAAACAGTAGAATCTTTGGGGTGATGCTCAAAGGGAAGCTGTTTCTGAACAAATAATGTGGTTCTTGATCTGTGGCATGGTGTTAGCACAAGTCTAAATGAAGCCAGGCACTAAGAGATGGCTGGGTCTTAAGAACTGGTTAGTAGTGACAGACAGACAGCCCAGGCCCATGATCTTCCTGTAATGATTCTTCCATTTCCTTGCCTATAAGAAGCCCTCACTTCCCCCAGGTAACACCACTGCCACCTTACTTTGAAAAGTCAAAAGGAGTAAAGCAGGCCAATTCTTTGAAAGAGCTGAAGTACTGCATCAGGGTAAGGTATTCATTCCAGGTTGAACATCCATAATCCAAACTCTGAAACCCCAAATCCAAACCTTTTTGAATACCGACATGGCACCTCAAGTGGAAAAACCCACAGATGACCTAATAGGTAAAACTCAGTTTCATGCACAAAATTATTTAGGATCTTCCACAATTAATTACCTGTAGGATCTATGTACAAAGCATTTGTAAAACATAGACGTTTGTGTTTTGACTTGGATCTCGTCCCCAGCAAGAATCACTATATGTATGCAAAAATTCCTGAATCTGAAAAAATAAAAAATCCAAACCCTTGTTCGGAATTAATTTGTAGAAAGGAAATCTGCCTGCTTCAGCTAAGAATAATTGCAGTGACTACTGTTACTTCACTAGCCAGGCCGGGCAAGGCTGCCCTTCCCTGGGCTCTGTTCTCATCTGTTTTTATTTCTAGATCTCTCCCTTCTCACTCCCCTAATGACACTTGAGATGTGTTTCTTATCTGACTCTGCAAATACTGAGCAATTCAAATTTTAACACTCGTATTTGCTGACAGGGCACCCCCAAATCCTGAATCAGTTTTAATACAAAGTTAATGCTATTTATTTTTCTTGGTGCAATAGGTTTATATTAGCCTTTTAACAGTTTACACTGTGCAAAAGGAGTCGTATCAGCAGGCAGTTTTCTGTAACATCTGGGCAGTTGGGAACATAATACTTAAATATAACCTGCATTTAAAGCCTTCCTTGGACAGATGGCTAATTTTATTGATCTAATCTTACACTTAGAAATAGGTCCCATGATCCTTTGCTCGTAATTCTTGGAGTGAGCCGAGAAATAAATAAGATGGCCGATGGTTGTGAATTAGGAGGCTGTTACATGTCTGTGATTTATCTTTTAAATACTTCCATATAAACAGTGGCAGTATGAATTGCTTGAATCTCTACCCTAAGGGAGTTTAGATAATGCTTGCAGTAACACAGGTAGGAAGGCAGCACTCAAGGATAAGCATGTGCGTTTATTTCACTTCTTGGTGATAGTGTCACAGCATGGTTAAATGTGGAACATTACCTCTGCCCTAGGCAGGCATCCATGCCCCTGGGCTGGCTAGTTATCATTTGAGCAATATTACTGTGAAGTCCACTCTCAAAAACAGCTGCAGAAGTAAATTCACAGAAGAAACTGTGTGTGTGGTGATGCATGTCTGTGTCCTAGAACTCCAGAGGTGAAAGCAGGAAGAGTGCAAATTCTAGGCCACCATGGGCTGCTACATGGTGACACCATCTCAAAAACAAAACAAAACAGAAACACACATCACAACAAACTGAAGTTCACACTAAAGGGTTTGTTCATCAGTGTCAGATGTGTTTTCATTAGTGAAATATATTTGGCAAAGAAGTTTGTATTTGTCCCTCTGATTTAATCCAGCAAGCCCAGTTCAATGTTTTCTTCATGTAACAACAAACTCATTTGTCTGCTCCAGGTTTGTTTGTCCTGTTATTGGAATAGTGATGTGCCTGTTGCAACACATGCAAATAGATACCTGTATTAATTAGGCCAATTAGCATTAGCTGATGGATGAACAGCGCTAAGGTTTGGTTTATTTTGTATTTATTCCAAGTCCAGTGTGTGTATTTCTAGTTGGCTGTTCTCCCTGGGTGACTTTCTTGTGTGTGGCAACCTGAAGATCTTACCATCATTTGTGTAATATCTCCATCTTGTAATGCCACTTTCTTCAAGACAGACCTCTAAGGAGGGATGTGAAGAGCATGAAGGTTTGTGGGAGAGGTTTTATGTATAAGGGCAGACCACAGTCACATAGCCCCAGCTGAATTGCAAGGGTTCCAGGAAATGCATTTTAGTTAGGTACATGGGAAGAACCTGAACCCAGAAAACTAGTTGTCTCTGAGGCACTATTGTGAATTTCTTAAAGGACCAAGGAAAGGTGTTACCAAATCTGTAGAAACAGGTCATCTACAGTTTTTGTATCTTTTTCACCCCTGGATGGATTTGACCTGTAGTGTATTTTCATTGCCATGTCTAACTTTGCTTGAAAAGTAAGTGCTTACTGTTTGAGGCCATGTGCTGTTACTACATCAGAGTGAATGAAGAAAAGAACAGGCAAGGATGAGAACTTACAAAGAAAAGAGTACCCAAGGGTGGGCACTTAAGAAAAGAGTAGCCAAGGGTAGGTACTTATGAGGAAAAGACTAGTCAAAGATGGTAGTTATGAGGAAAAGAGTAGCCAAGGATGGGTACTTACAAAGAAAAGAATAGCTAAGGAGGCTACTTACAAAGAGATATATTTGGGATCACGGTGCTGATTCAAGAACATAAGGCTGCACCTGGTGCTATCCTTGCTTGTGAGAACCCTGAGGTGGTACAGAGAGGACATTCAGCATAAAAAAAGGGAGTGTGTGGATGTACCCTTGTCTCTGTCTCTTTTTATAAAGGAACCAGGACCTAAGTATAAATGCTCCACCCCAATGACGTTATGTAATCCTAATCATCTCCCAAAGGCCCCAGCTCTGAAAACTGTACTCAGATTTAATTTCCAGCCTTCTTATGCCTCACAGTGGGGATTAAATGGCAACACATGTTCCCTAGAGAGATGCAGTCAGACCATGTCCAAACTATGGCAGTTACCATCTGTCCTATTTGCCACAAGCCACAATAGTCTAAGGAAAGACCCTAAAAGCCAAGCAATCCAAATGACTTAGGTCATTTGGACAAGGCCCCAAATACATAGAGAACTGCATTAACTAGGGTACTTTCCTCCATTGTGGTTGAACTCCGACAATTCCTGAAGCTGCAGTGATTTGATTTCCAGAGTGGAAATACTCTGCTCAGCTAGGTTCCTTTCTGCCCTCATAGCTATTTCAGAAAAAGCCTGACTCCAAGTGCAGCCTATGGGCTCCCCATCAATCAATGACATAGAACCTACCACCTTCCTCTGGTATCCCAAAACATTTCAAGCTAAGTGGATATATGTTGTATGCTAGTACATGTTCTTACACTTTACAAGAAGTGATGGCTTTCTCTTTATAGTAGTCACCTATGATTTGTGCAGTGGTTCTTAACCTTCCTAATGCTGTGACCCTTTAAGACAGTTCCTCATGTTGTGCTGATCCCCAATCATAAAATCATTTTCATTGCTACTTCATATTGTAATTTTGTTACTGGTATGGATTTTAATGTAAATATCTGTGTTTTTTGATGGCCTTTGGGGGGATCATAACTCACGGGTTGAGAAACTTTGAATTTGCACGTGGATTCCTGGGGTTGGGGAGATGCGTCAAAGGGTGTCTTAGTTAGGATTTCTATTGCTGTGAAGAGACACCATGGCCACAGTAACTCTTATAAAGGAAAACATTAAATGGGTAACTTACAGTTGAAGAGGTTTTGACCATTATTATCATGGCAGGACATGGCAGTGTGCAGGCAGACATGGTGCTGGAGAAGGAGCTGAGAGTTCTACATTTTGATCCATAGGCAACAGTAAGTGAACCGTGTCACTGGTCATAGTTTGAGCATATGAGACCTCAAGCCCTCCCCTACAGTGACATACTTCCTCCAACAATGCCATACTTACTCCAATACAGCCATACCTCATAATAGTGCCACCCCCTTTGGGGGTCGTTTTCTTTCAAACCACTACAGAGGGTAAAATCCTTGCCATAAAAACATGATAAATTACCATGTTTAAAAAGCTGTATGTACCTCTCAGTAGTGAGGAGGTAAAGACAGAAGGCCCTGTGGGACTTGCTGGCCAGCTAGTGGCCACCTCTGGCACCCACACACATGCACACATTCATTTAAGCACGTGAATACACATAAGTAAAAGATAAATAAAATAAAGTTAAATAAACAAATAAATGGTACTAAAATGTATTAACTAAAAATAAAAAATGAATAACATAATAAAATAAATAAATAAATAAAAATAAACAATCAAATGAATGGTACTGAAATGTACAAACTAGAATTTTAGCTGCCTCACCCACCAATTTTCTAGAAGCTTCTCTATTTGTGTTCCATAACAAAAAGAACTCTTTGTGGTAGATAATTTATTCAGTAAGATGTTTCTTAAAATACAGCAATCATCTTTGAGATATAACACCCTGCTCTGACAAGGATGCAGGTAGTTCCGATGGATCCCACTGAACATAAATTCACACGTTTGGTTGAATGACTTTCCTAAGCACATTTGGAAAGATGATTTCATTATGGCTTTGTCATCTTAATCCCATTAGTAAGTCAGGGCAGGTGACTTAGAAATAAGGAGATGGCACAGCCAAGACATGAACTTAGGCTGATGGTCTAGCCCTATTGCTTCTGGTCAGCCCAGAAGTGTATCTGTAGTCAATAGAAAAGATAACAGTGAAACTCCTTGCAGCAGACTTGAGCCTCACTCTATTGGATGGGTTGCTATCTCATACACTTATTGTTTTCCCAATGTTGAATGTTATCCTCACATTGATCTGACCTTGGACTGTTTCTCCCTTATCTCTGCCCAGGCAAATGTAAGATCTGACTTCATTGCCCATAGAGTGATCTCATCAGTGAGATTTCCTCTTCATCCAGCCTTCTTTGAAGAGGTTGTGTGCATACCATGGATACTCTGGGATGACTGAGGACTGTCATGCCCTTAGCTGGCTGGTGTGAGATGATAGTCCCTGAATTCTCTGGGTATCTCTG